GGGGGGGGGGCGTTGTTGGAGGGGTTGGAGGGGGTCTGTCTCTTGCAATTAACCCTTCCATGTTATATATTTTTATATTTTTTTTTGTAGGTATGGCTGTTTTATCTAGACGGCAGGGTGCAAGGGGATCAATTGTCAATTTGTCACCATTAGCTGTCACTAGTAGATGTGATACAAATGCTGGAGTGGCGTGCTTCGCTAGATTTATGTCGTCAAAATCTTCAGAACAACGTGGGCAAACCCCATCTGAGGTTTGTGTTCAATTTGAGTTTCTTTAACATCTAACAGGGAGTTCTAGATTTCCGGTTGATTAGTACTGAGTTTTAATAGAAGGAACTTTGACTGGATTTACATTTGGTGCTTTGTGTCTCAAATTTATGCATCCTCAAATAATTGTGAAGGTGACAACTAGCCGTCCGTAACTTCCATGTCAACTGAGACAAAAATGATCATCTCTAATAAATCTTAGATCCAATTAAGCAAGGACATGGGAATAATTAGAATATCAACATTATTAGTAAGGAAAATTTAAGTTAGCCTGTCTAGAATTTATTGTTAAACATTGTTGAATGCATTTCTGTAATATATTTATATGAAGCCTGCTTCCGTTAAGAGAGTTAGACAAACAACTAGAGAGGAGTGATACGATAAAGGAGGCAACACCAACAAAAAAAATGTTACCAGAATTGACGTTTACTAGGTATCTCATTGAGATGTTGGTGGTTAAAACTAAAACTGACATGACTGAGCATCGCCATATAAGCTTAAATTTCTTCTCATTTAGTTGCATTAGCCTGATGAGGCTGCTGCTTTATCTTGATCACCTACGAGTTCTTCAACCTGGTTTTTCCCTTGATCTTATTATCAGAGAAAAAAAGAAATATCGACAGTGGAGGATCCGTTTGATGCTCCCACATATAATATACCAGAGAAGCCTGTTACATTTGCAGAGGGAGCATCCTACAGTTTTATCATCCTTGCAGGGCTTGGAGTTGCAGCAGCTGCTGGATACGCAGTTTTTAAGGAGCTTATATTTCAACCAAAAGAGTAAAAATCAACTTACAATTGATTAATATTGCGAAGTTTTGCTTATAATCATGACTTATGCCTTGTGATTTCCTCTAGCTAGTGACTCTGATATGCTAATTCTTTTGTGTAGGTATAAGATCTTCGGCAAGGCTCTTAAAAGGATTCAAGATGACAGCCAGGTTAGTGAAATTAACCTCGACTTTTTGGCACATTTAAACACTCCCTTGGGGTTCTTGGCTTCTTGTTAAAGAAACAAAATTCAATAAGGATAAACATGTCCATAAGAACAAATATACTAAATGAAACGAAAACAACCAAGGCAATTATATATGCAGAAAACCAAGCTAGAAATGACCGACCGAGAGAACAAAGAGAACCATTTTGTACTTATTTCAGTGTTCAAGCTATCCTCTGAGCCTTTATGTTTTATTAGATTAGTTTTTCTATCCTGCAGGTTAGGGTAAGAATTGGTTCCCCTATAACTGGTTATGGGCAAGAAACTAGGAATCGGGCTGCTCGCCAACGTATCCCTAATAGGGTGTGGACTGATGAAGATGGTGTTGAGCGAGTAGAGGTAATTTGTGTCTTAAAATATGATAAATTTTTACTGTTATGGTAATGATAATTTGTTTTGTAGAAGTTGCTAAATAATTCCCCTTTTACATTGTAAATTAACAAATCATTTTGTAGAGTTCATTTTCTTTATACCTTGCCAACTATATTCACAGGTGAACTTTTATATTCGTGGACCCCACGGAGCTGGGAAAGTTTACACTGAGATGTTCAAGGATCAAGCGGATAAGCAGTGGAAGTTCACATATTTGATCGTCGAGGTGAAATCGCCTTCTCCTGCCCAATTGATCCTAGAATCTTATATGCCTGCCTGACCTTTCAGCATCCTAACCCGCTCTAGATTTTGTACCAAATAATACATTATTTAGAATTATCATCTCATGTTTATAGATTTCCTCCTCCCTCCCGCCCCATTTATATTTTTGATACGATTAGGCCAATTTTTCTAGTTCGATGTTTCGGATTACCTCCTTGCAAACGAGTTCCGATAAGTACTCACTCATTCAACTTTCTTCTACTCGATACAAGTGAATCAGAAAGTTTTGCCCCTAGATGATGCAGCCTCCGTTTCGGTAGCTCGTTATTGATTCTCTCTTGCTGCTAAATCTACCCTACCAAGGATAGATTTGTTCTTTCCATGCTGTGTGTATTTCTTTGTCCAGAAGTCCCAGATTTTCTCATGTTAGGCTCTCGCTAGAGTTGTTGTAGTGAAACAACAAAGAATCAACTGGAAATTGAAGGTATGAGGCTTATTTATTTGTTTGCTTCTTAGCTTGTTTGCATGCTTCGTTAAAAAGGCTCAATTTGCGCCCCTCACCTTCATACATTTCATAAAGACTTGTGCCAGTAAATGGATGGCTGATGTTATTCAATACAAAGGATAAGAACTAGAGCTTTTTGTTTGTTTGCTTGTTTTGGCCTGCTGATTGTTCTGTATTGTTCATGTGATGCATCAAGATTATTAACTCAATTTGTTTACAGTTAATAATGTATGTTTGACTGAATGAAGCTACTTTATCTAAGCTGAGAATTGAAAGATTCATTAAATAATGTGCTTTTTTTTCTCCGTTTTTGGGAGGATTTAATAATAATACAAGTTGAGAATATTTGAAATTTTTGGTAAAAAAATTAATTTATTCTCCCACTTTGGATTTTCATCTATTTTGGCCTGCTTTTTTAAATATAGATTTGATGATAGTTTTTTCTTTCAACACTAATAAGCCATTTTGAAGCATGTACAGTTTTGTTTTTGTGATTTAATAGATGGTGTAAATTTATTCAAGCTAAATTGATATAATTATTAATTTTAGTTTTTAATTAATGCACCCTCGAAATTTAGGAGTATAAATTGGCTTCCCAAATTTGAAAGAAGACAAGATAAATATAAATATTTAATGGAAAAAGAAAAAGAGAGATGGCTGTTACAACTTTTTTTTTTTTTTTTTTAAAAAAAGTAGACAATAATTGATGTTTAATTGCAATAAAATAAAATAAGAAAATAAAATAAGAAAATAAAACCCTCCACCAGGAACATGATGTCTTTTCGAACTCTTTTTTAATCATCTCGTTGCTGTATTATTTTTAGTGATTTCGCTTTAAGCAACAAAATTGTAGCTATTTGGTTCTTTACGTTCGTGACAAACTTCACTCCATGATTACAAGAACCAAAGAGAACAGAACACTGAAAAAGAAGTTTATAGGCCTCCACTGCTCTGTTCTAAAATGGCTTTCAGTTATACACCACCTGTTATCTATCAGATTTCATCTTCATTGATTCAAATTGGTGCATGACTATTACTGACGTTCGGTTTCTCGGTTTCGACTAATTGAACGATCAAATTCAAGTGGATAAGGTAGTGTAATGTGGAATATAAGAAGGCTACAATTGTTCCCTAAGAAGATAAATGTATTGGGCTTGAAAAATAAGATGCTTTACAAGTTCATGAATGTAAGTACGTACCATCTTCTTTTTAAGGCATTTCTAAGGATGGTGATGGTGAAGCAGGTGGATTTTGGCTGTTCTGAGTGTTGTCTCTGCTCAAATCCTGAACTTGTCCTGCAAAATGCAAATTCCAAAGGATATCGTCTACTGAAGGTCTATCTGCTGCCTTGTCATGGAGACATCTTACACATATTTCCATCATCGTCTTCAGCGATTCATCCGAACACCCCTTGTGTACTGCTGGATCTGCGATGCTCCTTCGAGCGATATCGTCTGTTTTTAAGCTTACCTGTAACTGAGAATACGAGCAAAACCAAAGCCTCAAGTTCAGCTTCAGACTTGTCAACCGTGATGATGATTGTGAGAGATGCAATGACAAGAAAATGTACTTACAAGATCTCTTGAAACATGAACTTCGTTTTGGGATGTGATCTGTCTTCCCAAAATGATTTCCAGTAAAATCACTCCTATGTCATACACATCATCCTTATCTGCGTGATTCATTCTGTAAACACATAAAACGCCACAAAATGATTTCCAGTTTCCGAATTCTTCTTTAGAAAACATTTAAAGAGTCTTACTCCATAGCATGGCGCTTCCCTTTTCTGCCAGTTGATGAAACTCCTGAAATCATCTGAAAGGCAACATAATATATCAACTACATTAAGCTTGAGTATGCAAACATATGAGATAGTCTTCGTACTCTCTGTATCATATCATACCGTTCCACCGTTTTCGACGACGATAGGTAAATTATAACTGCTGATTTTCACACGGAGATCTTGATCGAGTAAAATATCTGTAATCTTCAGATTGTTTGAGTATACACCAGGCACAATGCCTGTATGTAGGAACTGAATTCCCTTCACCACTTCAATTGCAGCCGATATTCTTTTCGTCCAAAAGAGCTTTTGCCCATGTAGCCCTGCATCATCAGTACCATGATGAACTAGCATGGCTAGATTGGGAATATACCAACAAAAGTTACAGTAATAATATAGCTAGAGATATGTCATGGAAAATCGATTTACCAGATACGTGGCTTCTTAGCGTTCCGTAAGGATAGTACTCGAATATTAAGAATACTCTGGTGATGGTTATACCATCTGGGAGGATCTCATAACAGTGTCCAAGAGCACTGACCAAATGACTGTGTCGTAGTTTCGATATCAACTCCAACTGATGCATGTAGGTTTGAGGGGTTTGCCGCCTTTTCAAAGTTAAACTCCTAATGGCAACTATACTGCCATCAGTAAACATCCCTTTGAATATCTGGTATTGTCAAGAGAGATCTTTCTTGTGAATCTATTTATTAGTTTTAATTAGCAGACAAATACGCAATAGCAATAGTTACAGAAATACTTCAAATGCCAGAAAGTCAAGAAGATTGTAATGACCCACTCCTAGCCGATATTGTCCTCTTTGGACTTTTCCTTTCGAGCTTCCCCTCAAGGCTTTAAAACGCGTCTGCTAGAGAAAGGTTTCCATACCCTTATAAAGGGTGTTTCGTTCTCCTCCCCAACCAATGTGGACATCACAAGTACGAAGAACTAAAAATACTGTTCACATCTTGAGCAACACTAGAGAAAAGTCACTGAGATATAAACTAGTAACAGTGAAAATGTATTAAATTCTGGTGAGTAAGCTTAAATGATACCTGGCCATCCGTACTTTCACTTATCAAAGTCGAAGCATCAAAGTTGTTGGTGGCCTCCTTCAGTTCATCCAAAGTGAAAGTTCGATAAGGAGGAAGGCTAGTTCCCAGCTTCATTGTCTGAGATATATACTCTGCAAATACATTGTGAATTTTAGTATATCTACAAGGACGAATTAAATTCATAACTCACGATAGAATGACGCCAATTTTCGCAATAGTTATGCAAGAAGATGCAACCAGACGGAAAAATTTGATTACTTTTCAGTTCTCTTGCTTTAATGAGGTCAAGCCAGTTTAAGAAATCAACCAGAAAGGAACAGGAAAGGAAAGTCTTTATCTTACTGGCATCATACAGCTGCTTGGCTGTGTTTGTTACAGATGAATTCTCTGTTACAAACCTTGTTGGTGGTTCTTTAAGAACGCCCATTTTGTACGTCCTTCTCATCGTGAAGAATACCAGAGCAACAACTATAATCCCAGCAATACTTCCTCCGAAAATTCTTAAGAAAGTCATTACCCCACGATGACCTTTCCTATGCTCCAGATTATGTGGCTTAATACTCACTGCTAAAGCTTCGTTGTGACAGAAGTTTAAGGGGTGCTGTTCTTGGTCTTTATTTGACAAGCAATTTCCAGTGTAAATGACATTATTGTTTTTGGACTCCAATTGCTGAAGACAGGTGGGTAAGTCTCCGGTCAAAAGGTTTGAGGATAAATTTACAAATGTAAGATCACTATTGCAAGATATGTTACGTAAAAGCAGCCCAGTTAATCTGTTCCCCCCAATATTCAGATACTTAATCGAAGGAAGTCCCAAAAGCGATGCTAGGAATGGTCCAACAAGCTTATTTGAAGATATGTCAAGCTTTTCAAGGCGATATAAGAAGGCTAACTCAGCTGGGATACCCGAGCGAAATCTGTTGTTTTTTAGCACAAGTATACTTAACCTCTTCGGTAATTTAGGGAACTGGGACCCCAGAAGATTGTCTCCCAAGTCGAGAACTTGCATGTTCGTTAAGTTGCTGAGGTCTGGCACCTTCCCAGAAAGAGAATTTTTCGAGAGAGAAAGAACTCGAAGGCTCCACATATGGGTAATGGAATCTGGCAAGGACCCATTAAAGGAGTTGTTCTGTAAACTCAGGGTAGTTAACACTGAAAGGGAATCAATCCAACTCGGAATATTACCAGAGAAATGATTGTAGTCGAGAATGAGAGTCTGTAGGCTTTTCAAAGAAGATATTTCCTCCGGGATGGAGCCATAGAAGGAATTTGAGCTTAAGTTGAGTATTTCTAGAGATAAAAGCTTACCAACAGTTGGAGGCAATGGCCTCTCAAAACCCAGAGAAACCAGAGATAGTACCTTCAGATTGGGAAACTGAGAAAATGTGGAAAACAAAAAATCAGCCGAAGTATTTTGTTGAAATGTGGGGCGCCCCACTTCACCAACAATGTGGAGCTGGGTTATATAGCCTTCATAGCACACGATGGTAAGAGATGGAGTGGATTCAGTGTCACAGAAATCTGTAAAATTGTCGAAGTTGGCTAGAGCTTGAGGGTAGTTTAAAAGTTCCCGGATTTGCAGAAGGGATTGGGATTCAGAAGGTTGATGCTGAGTTGAAAGATGAAAAGAGAACAATAACACGAACAGAAGAAGATGGAAATGGCAGACTGGTTTTAGTTTTGCCATTAAAGCTTAGAGGCAAAGTAGCTGCTGCTCGGTTGAACAGTCTAGAAGAGACCAAAAGAGTTACAGACCAGAGAGCAGAAAGAAGCAGAAACCCCCCATGAACAAGAAATGAAATTCTCTTTCTCTGACTGTCTCTTCGGTTTTATGATGGAAACAGATTCAAAGCTTGTTAGAGAAGCCCCAATGAACAAGAAGTGATCTTCATAATTCACAACAACAAAACTAAAAGTACAGTGGCTGTAATAAACCAAAAGCTTCTACATTAATCAGAGATTAGGCCGACTACTTTTTTCCAACTCGATGCTTTTCCCCTTTCCCAAGAGATTAGAATCTAAACATGGCTTACAGACTATTTAATACGAATTAAATGGCATAGGACTTCCACCACAATCTTGGCACTGAATAAAATAAAATACCTTTGAGATGCTATGTACCTGCCAAAATATAATTCAATTCTCTAGTACCATAGTGTGTATAGTCACTAAACAATTCTCTATTATAGTGTAGTAAAACTGTTAAGACTCAATCAATGAACCCTCAGAAATTGTATACACAAATATCCAATAACTTCATCTCAAATTTTACCATTAAAAATATAAACTATATAATCAAGACTTTGTGGATGTACTTACCTTAAAATAATTGAAGCTTGATCTACACAGATGATAAGCGGAAAAGCCAATTTAGTGGTAAAATGATATCTACATACCGACCAAATCTATGAAATCTAAAATAATATAAGCAAACTTCTTTGATAAAATAACATTAATTATTAGAGGTGATTGCAGAAACAGTCCCCACAATTACGATGTTAATCAATGCATTCCTAGAGAGGGATTGAGACAGTAATATATATTACTAAATAGGTTAAAAGACGGAAGGAGAATTTTTCCTGAGGAGTTGGTGTTGAAGACTTTATGATGGGATGAGTTATCCCTAGAAACAAATGCATATGGTTCACGGGGAGCACAGAATCTGTGCAATAATGCCATATTAGCCTGACAAATCAAACGTTCAAAAGGGCTTTTATTGCATAAAGCAGCTCTTTTGGCATCAAACTGAAACATTTTGGAATACGATACAACAGAAGCCTCTGATTTTATCTGTTCTTTTCGGCTCTTAGCAGAGTCTTCAGTCACGGGTGAATATTTAATGGAGCACCGTTTGGAATTTTGTTCATTGAGAATATTAGTGGGCTTCTTCTTTTTTCTTTTTATCCCTAAAAGGCTCATGTTTCATTACAAAATTAAGAGCTTGATACCTAACTTATTTCCAAGCCTAGCGATTTAAAAGTACTGGAGATTTCATGTTTCCCATTTTGGGTTCTTTTTTCTTCTTTTTGTTCATTTTTTCAATTTGAAATTAGAAAAGGTCAAATATTTCTTCACAAATTTACATTTGATAGATATATCTAAGACATTATTTTTAAATCTAAGACTTGTTATTATTTTTAAATTATTGCCTGCTTAACAATTAATTTAATTGATAAATCAAACTGTACACTCCATTACTAAACCAATCTGATTCCTTTTCTCTTTTCTCTGTTTTTTTTTTCTTTCAAACGCCATTCCAATTTTAATCGTTTTCGAATTTCAATTTATTTTTTCCAGTCCTGCAACCAATGATATACCCCAAATTTGTAGGCCATACCCGCAAGTTGCTTTTGAGGTGTGATTCGCACAGCCAATCTTACCTACAACAATCAAACCTTAAAACCATCAACAAACTCTTTGTCTGATGGTATCATATTTTAACATTAAGTATACTTGCTATACCAAGTGGGTAACACTAAAAATAATTGAGGATTCATAAACATGGTAAATATATCATTTAACATGTCGAAAATGCCTCAGCAATAAAATAATAAACTAAGATCAAATACTTATACACATTATACCTTGATGAGGTTAACTTGTCTTGATTCGTCAACCTAAATATTATTCATGGATAAGAAGTGTTAGATGTGTAAATCTCCAAACTTCCTAATAAATTCAAAATAAAAGTGAACCAACTCAAATCATACCGAAATTTACACACCCTGGAACATTCAAGAACGATTATTGCTTTGAAGAACCGGGGGGCTAACCCAACCCCCCATTTCAGTTGCCTTTTAAAAAAGGAAAATGTTCTACAAATGGTCTTGGTAAAAAATAATAGTGCTGCAACTTCAAGTAGATATGAATGATAAATTACAATTAATCATCTAATAAGTAAATCAATGAAAGACAACAGTTTTCCAAATATATAAAAATCAAAGACAATATGGCATCATTTCATTGCGTCGTCTTTTAGGAACAGTCCAACGGGTCCCATCATGCTTAATCAATAACCAGTGTACAAAATGTGAACAAACCATGCCCCTGGATGAGGAATAATAAAGGTGAAGCTTTAGAGATAGAACTTACAGGATGGGAAATTGTACTTAAAGATCTTATCAATATTCTAGAAGATATTTGTTTCTTCTAGCACCAAAAGCAAGTCTCTGAACAAAATGGCAAACACGAAACAATTAGTTGATGGTACGAAGAAGGAAAAGAAAAAAAAAACATTTCAACTTAATTGAGAAGTAATTAATCATTTCTCAACTGAGAATTGAGAGTAATCTTTCAGTCCACTGAGGAAACGAATGTACGTGGGCCTTGTTGAACCATTGGCTGGGATAGATCTTATGTTTGGGCCAAGGTATTCAGCGACCTGTAAACTCAAAGGCCGCGGACATGAAGAAGAAGTGCAGGAGCAATTATTATTATATAAGCAGAACAAATGCATGTAAATAATCTCACCCACCTTAATAGGCTCCTTCAAAATATAACAATTTGTCTTACCGAGGAAAAAGAGAAACAAAAATATAAAATCAATCGTTACCATAATTTTTTTTTTCTAACATAGATTGTAGTGTCCACCCATAAACAATTGGAGGTCTGAAGTCTTGTCTTGTACATATATTCAAACTGTCTGGGCTCATCCTAATAATTTCATATTAATTTATCCTTAGATTCATCAGAAGTGCTTAAGAGAAATAAACCATCACATGTTTCGGTATAAAATTATTTGCTCCATCTGTTATTCGAGTAATGGAGATGAAATGAGCAGCACATTGTGGATGTCATCCAAATGCACAATAGATTTCTTGTGCGTTTCTCATGCCTTCTGCATTCTTCTTGAAAAAAATTATACATAAGAGGAAGAACATTCAGACATAAGAGAGAATGTTAATAATAGAAAGAACAGTACCTAGGGGTGGGTCGCCCATCAGAACCAGCCTCATCAATGTTGAAAATATGACCTCCTCGAGGTTTGTTTAACATCATCTTTATTGCCTAAACAAGAAGTCAGGAACTATGCATGATTTACAAGAGCATTTGTAGTGACAACTTCACTGCATTAGAGAGCGTCTAAGGAATAAACCAAAAGAATTTCCATTTCATGTCATTGAGATTTGGAGATCAGAAGGAGGAAGCTCACATGAGATCTTCATCTGAAGTCTCGAGAAAAGGCTTAAAGCTATAAGCATTTGACCCTGCATTATTTGTCTGCATTGTTCTTGCAATACGTTAAATAGCAATAGAAGCAAACAAAATCCCACCAAAATAGTACTAATTATAAGACATAAAAAAACTGTGTATGAGACTCATCATATCCTCTCACCAAAATCAATCAACAATTGAAATAGTAGACGATGAAACATTTTTTGTTCTTTTAAGTCCAGTTTTCCTATAATACGATAAATATTGCAATTGTAAACTATGAAAATGCATACTTTGTCCAAAAACATCTAAGCATTGTATAGGCCAACGATTTTCAGACATGCACGTGTTAGAATTGTATGAAAAAACCTCAATGACATGATAAAGCTATCCACACGAGGCATTTCTTTAGTGGAACATCTCAATAGCATCATTATACACAACGACCTTTTACTCATTTCAATAGTTACTATTTCATAATTGCTAGCGTTATCCCTACTGTGTTTGCTAATTTACTCAAGTACAAAAGGGTATGCATGCACACAAATCCTGTATTATGTGGATTATTCTAGAGATATCATGTTCTACTTCCAATTTTTTTTTAAATATTTCAATCAAATTTCTATATTAACGACATCTTCACCACCGCGAGTCAGCTAAAAGTAAAAGAGACAAGTAAATTTAAATGGTTTGAGGTTATGATTCATGTTCAAACATTAAAGGCCACCTATCTAAGATGTTCAATATCATATAGATTCTTTGATACCAAATAGACTTATATTGTAGTTAATGGAAATCACGATTTACTCATTTGATCTTCATGTAGAAGGGGAGGGAAGGGGAAGAGAAAGAACAATTTGAAGTAGATACCCATATGTCAATGTATTTAAGATTTTTCTACACAAAATTGACTACAATTTTTACATCCTCTCCTTCTCGCACGTCACATTTAGTACCCTGTAAAGTAGAATTAGATTAGGACAGAGCTTGAAGTGTCGGCAACTGCTCCAAATGCAAATAGTACATGGCAAACAAGGAAATGATAGAAAAATGATGAAAAAACATCTGCGAAGAACAAATTAAATTGAAAAAGTTTAGCAGGAGGTAACCATAGATGCTTATCATGATTATTACGAGAATCCGTACCTAATCAATAAATCAAACACATTTTTATGGGTGCAGAAATGTATTAATAAATTGTTAAAAGAATGTGCACAACGCAAAAATAACCACAAACACATAAGAACCCAAAGCTTGAAAATTAAAAAAGAAAATTATGAAACTCTTCAGGGAAAATAAACTGATAACGATGTTAAATAATGAAACCATAGACTCGAGCTTCTCCAAATAGCTGAATTGATCAAATATCCTATATACCTGATTAGATGGCGGAAATGTATTACAAATACAGCTTCATACATACTTTACAAAATAACCTGCAGTCACTCCATGTAATTCATGAAGCTCCTACTCTAAACATGACTGAAAAATGAACTCGACATGCAATAATTATATAAGTGTGCGCAAGTACTAGAAAATGTAACTCCTTAGTTAATATTTTACAGTCCTGTACAGATTTATTCAGAGTCCTACACGAGTGTCCATGAATGGGAGGAAAAAAACAGAAGGTTTCATGATGAGCATAGTGCATATGTTACCTGATAGTGAACAGATTACAACTTTGTCACCTGCTTTCAGAAACTGTTTGGCCAACGCATATCCTATTCCTGAATACATTGCAAATATGAGTATAAAGCACCATATGAATGAACATTAGGAAGTTAAATGCACTGATGTGTCAAAGAAGTACTCTATATCCGCACTCAAATGAAAAACTCCAATCCCAAAGATCTGTAAGTAATTAGAATATGACTAAATCTACACGATCAAGAAAATTCAGGTAACTGTGTGCAATACATAGTAAACATTTTCCTTGGATTTGGATGAAAATCCTAAGAATAACCGGTCGTTCTTTGGTCCTCGTAGCAATACAGTTTGAAAAATTATATGTCCAAAGCCTAATCTATGAGGTTTATGACTAACTTGATAATTAAAAGGATATTAATTCGAAGGATATCTTTGCACTCATTTAAGAGCTCAGACTTTAATTGATTATGCTCTAACTCCCAATGTATCCATCTTTCTACGAAGTCCTTACAAATAAACCATTCGACTACGATGCAAACAATAAGTTTGACTTCAATCATATGATATAAGCTCGTGAACCTTAAAGGAACATTACAGCCTACTAATCCAGACTGCTACTGTACACGTGAAATCAAAGTCTAAAACATACCTTCAAATTCTTAGTAAAACTAAGAGGAAAGAGCCAACCAGGAAGTTCCTCAAACTCAATTCCTAAAAAAAAAAAAAAAATCAAGTCAATCAGATAAACAAATATATATTCCACCACCAAAATTTTCGTCAAAAAGCAAAAATACAGTTGAGCGAGTACAGTTCGGAATTTCTTGCTTACAAAAACGACGTCAAATACCAGAAGCCATAAGTTCAAGCAAAACTACAAACAAAGTACCAGCAGGAAATTAATAGATGCAACAGGAAACCAAAGCATAACGCAATATATCAAACAAACAAAATGAAGAAAAGGACGCCACACCTTTAGTAGAGCCAGCGATCGTCAAAACATTATAAGGAGGAATCATAGGCCCTCTCCGCTGAAAGACCTCAGCCTTCAATGATAGAGAATTGGAATTCACAAGATCTGGCGCGAACCACCAATCGAAAGACTGTAACTCTCCGATTTGCAGATTGATAGGCGAGTCCGGAAGGAGGTGAGACGAAGAAGAAGCCACCGTTACGCGAGATGAAGGAGAACGGAAACTGGAGGGAAACTGAAGAAAATCCATTTCCCGCGGTAGAAATTTCCGGAGTATGAAATTCACAAGAGTAATACGAACTTTGAGAGTATGAAATTTCATGCCGTATCTAGAAATTTTTGTGTTTATGATTTTTTCTTGTAGTTTCTTGGAAAACAAGACAATAAATAGTGAGCAATATCATAGTCATAGTACCAAGCATTGTCACAAGCATCATGATATTTATACTCACTACACAACATCATAAAAATCTCAATTTAATATACACAACAACGCTTCCCACCGAACAAAATCCCTCAAGTATCGAGACTCAGAGGTGACCTATGGGAATGTTCATATTTGATGAAATTAACGGTCGAATATGATTTTAGGAGCTGGGTTAGGTTGTAAGGTCTTGTACACATGATCTCGGTTTTTTTTTTTTTTTTGTGTCCTCATTTTTGTCTCGGTACAATCTCTAGTCAGCGTAAAATTACAATTGATGCCCCTCGTTTCATCGAGGTGTCGTTCTATAGTTATCAAAATATTGTGTGCTCGAGTTTGCTAGCTTGAGATGAAAGTGACCCGATGATTCTATCGTGGATATAGAGGAGTTTACCTTTTCTTCCTCCAAGAGGTAGGAAAGAAGACCATAATCAAACAACCAAGAACAAATCGTTACATAACATTAATGTATTAAATTTTATAAGCTATATCAAATAAATTATTGTGAAATTAATAATAATTTATTGCATATAGATTCAACGAAATTTACATTGTTTACATGTTAATTATTTTTTGTTTTTTCTGGCGGACCTCAACGAAGCTCCAATTACCACAATGGTTAAAACAGCAGCCCCAATCATCACAGCTTGCCGGTTTTCTTCCTTCATCGCCACCTTCGCCACCGCCTCGCCGGTCTCTTTCACCTTCGCCACCGCCGCCTTGCCGGTCTCTTTCACTTTCGCCAGCATCTGGAATATTACGTTCCCGCCGGCGCTAGGTTTTTTCTCTTCACTTTTTTCATTTTCTTTTGATTCAGTGACGATTTCCGCCTTTTTAGCAACTTCTTGGTCTGTCTTCTTCTTGTTCTTCTGAGATTCGAGGACTGATTTCTCCGATTCAGCGTCTCCCGTTGACGGTGGCGTTTGATCTTCTTCCTTTTCTTTTCTTGCTTTGATGCCAGTGGTTTTCCGATTCCATGGCGTCGAAGCCGCCGCACGGGACGATGGAGGAGGAGGAGGAGGAGGTGGTGGTGGTGGTGCGGCAATTTCAGAGATATTCTTTTGGTAATTTTCTCTGAGTTCCTTTACTGAGCGTCTTGGTTCAATAGCGGACGGCCGTGGTGCAGAGATTTCGGGGAATAGTTGATTATCTCTTTGCCTTGATTTCTCCGATAATTCCGGATCCGTCGGCGAAGGCGCCGGCGCCCTAACAGGCGATTTCTCGCGATATTCCCCTGCCTCCGCCGTCGCTCTGCCATCGGAAGAAGCCTTTTGATCATCTTCTTTCTCTAAAGAGGCATCTTCAGAAGCTGTCCATTTGCGTTTGGCCGGTAGCATCTTATCCATAGATCTCCGTTGAATTTCTCCTCCTATTTCCTTAACTTCGTCGGCCGACCTCTGATCAGATGGCGGTGGTGCCGGAACCCTAGCAGGCAATTTGTCGCGATGTTCCTCTGCGTGCTCCGCTGCTTTCCGATCAGAAGAAGCCTTTTGATCGTCTTCTTGCTTTGAAGAGGCATCATTAGAAGTTGACCGATCAGAGAGCATTCTTGGCATAATAATGCGAAGAACTTCGCCGCAAAATCGGCCATAGATTCCGGTGGCTAAGCAGTCGGCCGGAGCGCAGAATTCTTGAACAAATTCCGTTTTCTGCTTTTTTCCCTGCACCTTGACCTTCCTCGTCGCCTTCTCGTAAGTTACCTTTATCTGATCCTTTTGGCATCCTGCTTCAAATTTGTGAAATTACATTTAAAAAAAAAAAAAACACTAAATTATTTGCATTTTCGCTAATATTATAATTTATATTTTAAATATCATAAATGTAATATTTTCTAGAAAACACGTTGAACTCTGACCTTACCTCGTCCATTCGACTATTCAATGACCGAAGTAAATAAGAAATTATATTCGACTCGAGAGATCAAACCTGGAAGTTTGATGCACGTCTCATATTCATTACGATCGGGATGAAATAGGATGGGTTCGAATGTTATTTTGAGGCTTTCGGTGTCGTTTTTGTCTTGTGGTTTCGAACTTTTTACAAACCAATCCATTGCGATGCGTTTTGGTTGAATGAAAATGTAGCACATACGAGTTAGAATTTATTATATGATTTTTCTTGTGGGTAAGTCTATTCCTTTTTCCACTATTTGGACTTTGGTGGGTTTTCTTTACCCTTTCACCTGGAAATAGAATCGAATCGAATAGAATAAATGTTTATTATGTTTACTTGTTATGGAAGAAAATCAATGGTCTTCCTTCCATTCATATTGCTTATTAGTGGTGTAACCATTCATCCAAGCTATCCTATGTCGAAAATTAAATAATTCGTTATACACGTTGTTGTAAACGTATCGTCTACTTTAGTTCGTTACGTATCAAAAGTAGTCAAATCTCACCGCTAATAGATATTGTTCATTTTAGTTCGTTACGTATCGTCAGACTCATGGTTTTCACTACATTCTTATAAAGAATGTTTCGTTTCACCCTCCAACTAATGTGGGATATCATAATCCACCCCTTGAAAGCTTAGTGTCTTTGTTGACATATCGCTCGTTATCTAATTCTAATACCATTTGTAACAGTTGAAGTTCACTAATAGTATATATTGCTTGTTTTTGCCCGTTATGTATCGTCACCAGCCTCACAGTTTTAAAACGCAGTTAATAAGGAGAGGTTTCCAATATGAGATCTCACATCTGTAGTCGAGAAATACAATTATATGTAACCATTGTTCATGGTATAACCTCTTCTATCTTTCGAATAGGGTTGAATGTATAGTATTTCTCTACTAACAGTTCATGCACACATGCATGAATTTATTATTTTTAGGATTAGGAATAATTTTTATTATTTATTATTATTATTATTATTATTATTTATAGAATCCATGGTTGATAGTAATTATAAAAATAAAAATAAAAATAAAAATAAAAATTATTTTTACAAACTCGTAAAAGTAACTCAAAACGACCCACTGTTTAACCGAGAAGACATTTACAATATATATATATATATAGTTTCCTTAACTGAGCCACTGCTTATAAGTCACCGACTCATTCTTCAACAGCCACACGGTCAGAGTCCTTGCCTCTTCGTACTGCTTGGAAGACCATCGGTCACCCAGAAGCTTTGCAAGATGGCTCTTAATGATTCACACGAAATTCCACGTACTCCATATTACTCGAAGTTCTCACATATCACCGACCATAACATAATCAAATTTAATAAAAATTATACATATTAATAGACTTCCAACTCGTGCGCGTGTATATGTGTGTGTATACATATATAGGAAGTTGGTATTTATTCATTAAGATAGTAAATCTCGATTTAGATGAACACTAACCTATTGTTTTCATCGGAAATGTAATGGTAAGAATGTCATTAGAAAATATTGCGTAGACACCGTCTAGTGCGCAGTCGTTCGGAATTTTTATGGATTCGTTGACACGAATGACATTGTATCCGATTGTTTTCATTGACATAACTCTAACTTTATTTGTTGGTACATCCAACATGATTTGCAGCTGATTTGTCATAAAACCTAAACGAAAATTCATACACAAAAGTAGTATTTAAAAACAAAAATTTGACATTTAAAAATAACGTATGGAGATTAAAGTAGCGTTTTAAGATGAAATTAAATAAGAACGAATTTAAAAATTACCGGGAAATTCGATGTCCAGTTTCTTAACATGCTTGTCTCGATCTTCTCTCCATGTTGTTTTTGGAATGTATTTCTTTTCTTTTAGATCTACTTCGTCCCAACTAGATACTTGGATCGACATTGAAAATTTCAAAAACTCCAAATAATTTAATTTTGGGTAATGAAAATATATGGGAGAGAAGGAACACTTCTTATTTATATATATATATATATATATATATATATATATATATATATATATATATATATGTATATATATAACAAAAAAGCTTATTCCTTTCACAATGCTTTTGGCATTGTTTTGGGTATAAAGTGGAATATATGAATGGAATGGAATAACTTATTTCTTTTCATTTGGGACGTTGGATGTGCGTGTATAACTGGTTTGAAATAATGGGAATTTTCGTACGGATGGCTCGAGAATTTGATCTCATTGTCTTTTTGACTCACGTGTATCTAATCTCGAGGTGGAGTTTTATTCAGTTTGAGATGGAAAATTTTACTCTTCTCGAGATTACCTAAGTAGTTTACTTCTTGTAATTACTAGATAATGACGTGTTCATCCAATACTTTGTCGATCACCATGAAAATTAGGTTTTGAAAAGAGACGTTTTTTTGTTTTTTTTTCTTTCTAAAAAGAATTTCTTAATGTATTTGAAAATTTGAAAATACATTTTTTTCAACAAGAATCTCGAACAAAAATGTTTCTTTTTGCCATTCACACCTACTTTTCTAAAAGTCTTGAAAAGTATTACAATTAGATTATGATTTCTTCTTACTCATAGGTTCTCTAGACGTGATCTACCCCATATCGAACCTGATCCAACCCACGACCCGGCCTAGAACCAAGAGCGGCTCAACTAAACATGGTATGATCTAGTGACCTGACCTAGAACCCGAATCAACCCAACAACCCAATTCATACATGAACCGACCTGAAACTTGAATTGACCACCACCAAAACAATGAACTTTGGAGCTTTTTAGTATTACCCGCCCAATTCTCCAAAAATAAATGGAGAAAGTTCGCGGAAATGACCCATAGACATCTAAAGAATAATATGATAATGATAGAGAGAGACAAACATATCCATTTTATTTTGTTCGATCTATAATGCAAAAGATTTATTCTCGTCCTTTAAATTTGTGTCGTTCGGCATTTATTCACTTCTAATAATTTTTTTTTTGGTATAATAATATACTTTGATGTCCGAAATTTTATGGGTAGAATCGATTAAACAGCTCACCATAATTATACAAGAACGAAAAGAGTTCAATAGTAATGAAGAGGAACTGTAACGACACTAGTTTTACTATCAAAATAAAGTTGATACTATATGCATAATATGCTTAATGTATGCGAAAATTCATTTAGAAACATGCACGTGTAAACGATGTCATGAACTTAAAACGTTCACTAAATTCATTTAAAATAAAGTAATATCAATGGAATAACGAAAACGAAATAACAATAATTTCAAAGTAATGAAAACGTTGATATATCTTTAGGGCTACAATTTTAATAGATAATGCAATTATTCTGATTTCATTCCCGTAGCATGCACAATAACGTCATTATCCGTATAAGGGTGTCTTACTATTACCTGAAAAAAGTAGTAACTCTATTGTTGGGGTCGGGAATGCAATCACAAGCAATCATGGTCTCACCTATCTTTTCATAAAACTTCATGGCCTCAACTCTACTTTCGAGGGCGAAAAGTAGTAGTATTTCAACTAATGCACGCTCATGCTACCGAACCCACGGAGGGAACGGAGTCCACATAATGGAAAAGTATCTTAATGCACGTGACATAAATAATGCATGAGATCCTCATAGCTTTTGAATCATGACATAAGCTTTGGCGTGACTTATGAAAGTCCATGCATCATACAAAATCGTTATCACAACATAATTCCAAAGCATAACATAATCACACCATAATATAACATAACTTGTAATCACGACATAACACATCATAACGTAGTACATGTCAAACAATCATAAAACACGACACGTGTAAGTGCCACAAGGCACGTGTTGTAACGACACTAATTTCATATGGAGACTTGAGTATTTTAAGAAATAATTAGTAAGTAGCCCCAATAACCCCGATACTAGGGTCACGAAATATAAGCACATGCAATCATGTTTGGGACTTATCATTTTATGGCATTGGTTTCAACTTTCAATCATGACAGAATTAGATGTGTAGTACGTCTTTACACACGACTCATGTACGTGCACATAGACCCCCAAGCGAGCTCGTATACCTACCCCCTAGACCCGACCTTCAACTAGCGTATACTCATGTTGTCGGCATACCAAGGAGGGAAGGGAGCGTGCATAATATCATGATGTACAAAATACCATATCATAACCGTTGTAGTGCACGTGTTTGTACTAATCATAACAGGATAGTATCTATAACACAATATTAATATAATAAACACATTAAACAATTACAAAGTGCAACACAAAGAGCTATAGGGCACACACCCTATCTTGAATTGGCTAAAAAGTAGTTATACTAACTTCGAACACCTTCGAAAGTGTAAAAAACAGTTGAAAAGGGTCCGAGCGTATTAGACTCATGACAGATTGGCCGAGAACCTGAGCTATATATTTTTCGACTAGCTCCGAATTACCCAAGTGGGATGAAATAGAGTAATTGTTGCGACAGTAAGACCAAGAGATCCCTCATTTACGTTAGAGTTAATTTATCAAGTTGTTACATACACATATGTATCTAAAAGAAACTTTCATATAAGCTCAGATAACATGAGTCACTGTCTATTTGGGTTTAAATAATGTGCGTTCGGTTAGTCAAATATTTGCAAGACATCGATACGTGAAATACGTTGTGCACCACGGAAAGGGACTGTGGCAGGGCTATTGGCCACCGATATGATTCGATCTAAACTTTCCCATCTTTTTAGAGATGTTTGTATTTTCGAGAATAATATGATATTGTTCACTCTAAGCATAAACTCTCATGGCTCTGCTTTGTGCTTCCCCAAAAGGCCTCATACCAACCGAGATAGTATTCCACACTTATAAACTCATGATCTACCACTAAATTAACCAATGTGGGACTCACTCCCAATGATCTTCAACACTATTCACGACCGGTCCAATTCGATCTAGAGCGTCGAAAAGTTTGAAAGCATGACCTCAACCTTTTTGAACAAACCTAAGCATGTCTTTCATTAGGGACACATTCTAGTTCTGAGATCGGATCTTCATAACATTAAGAAGGTTGACGAGTATTAATTTTGAGAAATTTTTTTTTGCTATGGATAGTTACCAAACTTTTTTTTTTGTGCTTATTATTCTTTTGAGAACATGTGAGTGAGAAGTATTGTATTAGACCGCAAATATTATTTTCACTCTCATAACAATTCAAGATGAGCATGAGGTGTAGGCAAAAGAAAACATTTACAATATATTCTTAACTAAGTCACTACCTATGAGTCGCCGACTCAACCAAGTCATTGCCTATGAGTCACCTACTCATATTCTTTAACAAACACGCAGTTAGAGTCCTAGTTTCCCCTTACTTCTTAGAAGCTTACGGTTTCATGTTCTATTTCATCCTTCCCTCACGTAACTACTTTACTATCGGTCACCCAAGAGTATATTTAGCTTTGCATGTGGTCTTCACTAATTCAAACGGAATATAACATACGAAGATTAAAGTAGCGTTCTAACATGAAACTAAATTAAAACTTAAAAGTTATCAGAACAATCTATGCTCAATTCAACCCATTTATATGTTTCTATTCATGCTATCAGTGGAGTCCATTGCTCAAATAGGGATGACGTTAAAATTCTCATAATGTGCAAATAATTTAATTTTGGGTAATGAAATATATGGGAGAGAAGCACTTTTATGTATATATTATATAACAAAATAGCATATTCCTTTCACAATGCTTTTGGCTTTGTTCTGTGCAGAGTGGAATATATCAAGTGAATGGTAGGAAGCCAATATGCTTTTCTATGCCATTTGCAAATTAAAAGATTCTAATTTATCTTTTCAACCCAAATTTGGTACATAGAATGTGCATGTGTAACTATCTCGAGATAATCGGAATCTTTTCAGCTCATGTTATATTCCTATAACGACTCAAATTTTTTACCATGCGCATTTCAGTATATTGTATCTTCTCCCATAGAGATTCAAACGTTTGAAATCGACTTCAAAAGAATTAGAATGATTTCGCAAATAGAGAACTGGGGCAAAACATAATTGATTCTAGAAAAATCAAAAGATGAATTCACACAAATAGAGATTCTTAAGTCAAGTTTCATTAAGGCAATCATATATAGTATATCAAGACAACCATTATTTTGGGACAACTACACAAGAAAACTGATAATTAAGACAACCAATAATTAGCAACAATATTCATTTCAAGACAACTAAATTCAAAATAGCATATCAAGACAACCATTATTTCGGGACAACCACATAACACAACAATATTTCAAGACAAACATTATTTTGGATTCTTTAAAGTAAAATCTTATCTTACCAAATGATAAAAACCTGCTAGAAAGTTGAAGATCATCTCCCGCTGATCTTCAAACTCTAAGAAATAGATAGACTAACTACAGATTATACGAAAAATTTTAAGTTACGAACTCTAGTAAGGCAGAAATGAAAGAAGATAAGAGATCGAACATGTACTAAACCCTAAACCCTAACCCCAACCCCTATTATAGTATTCTTAAAACATCTAAAAGCTTAAATTCCTTATCGTCCACTTTCCAGGAAAGGAATCTAAACACTATTCATTTTCTCAACTGTAACTTGGGCACCCGTTTCAAATGCATATCCCATTTTTGCACAGCAGGGTTATGAAAATCCACGAAAAGCAACCGGCCGTATTGTCTGCGCCAACTGCCATTTAGCTAATAAGCCCGTGGATATCGAGGTTCCACAAGCGGTACTTCCTGATACTGTATTTGAAGCAGTTGTTCGAATTCCTTATGATATGCAACTGAAACAAGTTCTTGCGAATGGGAAAAGGGGCGGTTTGAATGTGGGGGCTGTTCTTATTTTACCCGAAGGGTTTGAATTAGCCCCCCCGATCGTATTTCTCCCGAGATTAAAGAAAAGATGGACAATCTGTCTTTTCTTCAAATAGCTTTACAGGGAAAGAAAAGAGCTATTGAACAAACCTGCAAATCGTTCTAAGACAAGAGTTGATAGGTGAAGGAGGTAAGAGAAGCCGAGTTGGAGGGGTGAATAAGTAGGTTGAAGAGAGAGAAGAGAATGAGAAGACCACCAACAAATTCTATAACAATTAGAACACTAACAAGGATAACTTGAACCACAAAAATTTGTAGAAAATTTACAGGAAACCTATAGAAACAAACCGTCTTCGTATTCGTATTGGTCGAAACAATAACACTAGCGTTACCACACAGCAAAGAAAAAAAATACCTGAAAAGATAGAGCCTCACATAGAGCAAATATAATAAACAGAACGAACCTATCTATCTTTTAATAAAAACATCAATGGGTTTTGAATATCAAAGCACCCACCTCCTACCCAAAGTCGATGGTTTTCTAAACATATATAAGCAAGTATTTTTTAAACGAACTTACTTAAAAGCATATTTCTATTGGGAGGCACCCACTTGTAAGAAAGGGAAAGAGCCAGGTTTTAAGTTCATTTTTAAGGTAAGGACTCAAAACAGTTTCTGAAACAACATTTGCATCTCATGAAACCAAAAACAATCCAGGAATTGATGTACACTGTTCATGCCCATTTCACAGATATATTCTATCAATCAAGAAAAAGAACTAAGAGCCAGCAAATCGTAGCCACACACGAGAGAAGCATCAAATTAACATCCAAAATTGCATCAAGAATTATTCTTTAAACTTACCCGAATTCATTATTTGATTTTACAAATATCACGATAATACGTACACAAGTACAAAATTATGTAAAATAACTACAGGATGATGACAAGTCTGAACAGAACTCAAACCCCATTATAATTTTTTTAGAAATATAAATTTTAAAACCTAGAGTAATTATAAATTTTAAGGACCTTTAACTGTATAAATTTTTAACAAGATGCAAAATCATATTTTACCAAATGATATTGGACATCTAGGAACTTGAAGATCTCCCACTAATTTTCAAACCATAGAACGCTCATACTATTTGAGATCACAATAGGCAAAATCATATCTTACCCAAATGATATGAACATATTATTTGATATCAAACCTAACTCTATGAATTATAACTTGTTGATCTTCAAAACCTAGAGTGCTTATAATAAAGTTTGAGAGCCCAAATAGTATGGTAGAATTACATGCGCCAAAAATCATATCTTACCAAATGATAGTGACATACTAGAAATTTGAAGATCATCGCAATACTGAAACTCCTTTCATAGAAGGCGTAGTTCCTAGGAAAAAATATTTGGATAGAAAAAAAACAAATTTATTTTTTTGTGATTAAAATGATACAGAAGAACATGAGCATAGTTTTGACGTGACATATGAAGGTCAGTGCATCATATAAAATCGTTATCACAACATAATTGAAAAACATAGTATAATCCCATCATAATATGATTCATATCATTTAGTAAGATATGATTTTGTCTCCTGCAACCAAAATATTTGAATTCTCAAAATTGATAAATACTCTAGGTTTCAATCAACTAGTTATAATCTTTAAACTCTAGAATAACTCTAGAATGCTCGTACTATTTGAGATTAACCTGAGGCAAAATCATATCTTACCCAAATGATATGAACGTATTAAAAAGTTCAAGATCATCTCCCACTAATCTTTAATCTCTACCATGCTCATACTATTTGACATCAAATCTTAAATTAGAGAACCTCTTAGGAAATAGAGTAACCAGAAGAAATACTAGGCTCCCACCGGCCGCCATCGTCATTCTAACGCCTCTCTCTCCCTATAACTCCTCTCACACATATCTAAATAGGGTGCCAAACCAAAATGGTTTGATATGACTGAATCTTACGTGCCCTTAAAAAGACAACGAGACCCAATTTTGCGCACATCCATACAGAAAATCCCCTCCAAATTATAAGGCAGAAACAAAGAAAATAAGAGATCGAACCTGGAGAGACCTCCATGCGCTTATTTAAAAAATTTGCACTTGTTTTCATCCAACATTTCGAGCTCCTTCGCTATCTTGACAAATTGAACAGTTCAAGAAAAATTATGTTAAAAAAAGAAGGAAAAAAAAATTCAAAGCTAAGACTATTTCCCGTGTGCTACAAAGGTAGAGACAGAAACACCTGGACAAATAGAACCCCAAATTTAGTTGTCGGACATGTTGATTAACAACTTACTAAATAGATCAAAAAGGGGAATTGACATATTATAGTATTCGTAAAACATCTAAGAGCTTAAATTCCTTTACGTCCACTTTCAAGGAAAGGACGTTGATCTTAAGCCTCCAACAAAATTCTATAACAATTAGAACAGTTGCAGAGGTTAGTTTCATTCGAGACACAAGGATAACTTAACTGAAAAAATAGAGCCTCATATAGAGCAAATAAAATAAACCGAACAACCTAATTTTTTAATTAAAAACATCCAATGGGTTTCGAATATCAAAGCACCCGCCTCCTACCAAAGTTAAATCGTTTTCTATGCATATATAATAAGCAAGTATTTTTTTAAACGCAACTTCTTAAGCATGTTTCTAAGAGATCAAAAACTGGGAGGCCCCTACTTGTAAGAAAGGGAAAGAGCCATGATCGAAAAAACATTTGCATCTCAAGAACCCAAAAACAGTCGGAGAATTGATGTACACTGCCCGTGTCCATTTATAAATAACAAACATATTTGGGATTAAAGACATACACTACGTCTGTACAATAAGGCAACCGATACTTAGCATCCATTATGTCTAGACAATTATTGTACTAAAACGATCAATATTTGGAACAATTATCATTCCAAGACAACCAATATTTCAAGCAACCATTACCTATCAAGACAACCATTATCTCTAGATAATTATTGAACCAAAACAACCAATATTTCGTAATAATTATCGTTACCCCAAGGCACTTTACATTGCCGCAAGGCAAAGGCAAAAAAATACCTTAACAAATAGAGCAAATAAAATAAACTGAACACATCTAATAATCATTTAAATGGTTTTCTATGCATATAAAATATGTTTCTAACAGATTTAAGAACTGGGAGGCCCCCACTCGTAAGAAAGGGAAAGAGTCAAAGTCCATTTAACATCCAAACTGCATATAGAATTATTCTTTAAACTTACACTTAATTCCCACAAATATCAAACCTATCACAATATATCTGTACAAGTAAAAATTTACATAAATTTTACATAAAATAACGACAATAATCATTGAGATACATTCACCACCACAAGAAATCCAAAACGTTTAAATTAGGGTAAGAAGTCTAGGAATAAAATATAAAATCATACCTGTTTACAATATTCTTAATAATCATCTTGAAATGATCCTGACAAGTCTTAAGAGAACCTCAAACTTCGTTATGATTTTTTATTTCCGACTTTGCAACTTCATCAGACCTCACGCGAGGTTCTCAATCGATAGCTCATGCAAAAACCAAACTTTTTCAGTCACACACGTTTTCCATGCATGCATGTTCACTCAACAACCACTCTACTCTAGGCCAAGTTATAAGACTCAACCTTAGAGAGAACCGTTGTGTTGGGACTATTAGTGTACCAAGTCAATCGAAATTTTGCAACAATTATCATTCCAAGACAACTAATATTTCGAGCAACCATTATTTGGAAGCCTATCAAAGCAACCATTATGTCTGGACAATTATTGTATCAAGGCAACCGATATTTCGAATGATTATCATCTTAAGATGACAGATTCTGAACAACCATTATTTTGGATTCTATTAAGGCAACCATTACGTCTCGACAATTATTGGACGCAACCACTATAGTTCGCAACAATTTTCATTTCCAGTCAACTAATTCAAAATAGCATATCAAGGCAACCATTATTTCAGGACAACTACATAACCCAAGCAGTTATGTCGAGACTATTATTGTACCATGGCAATCGAAATTTAGATCGAGGCAACCATTATGTCTGGACATTTATTGTACCAAGGTAACCATTATTTCGGGACTACTACATAACACAAGCAGTTATGTCAAGACTATTAATTGTACCATGGCAATCAAAATTTCGCACCAATTATCATTCCAAGACAACCATTATTTGGAAGCCTATCGACGCAACCATTATGTCTGGACAATTAAGGCAACCATTATTTCGGGACAACTACATAACACAAGCAGTTATTTCGAGACTATATTGTACCATGGCAATCAAAATTTCACAACTATCATTCCAAGACAACCATTATTTGGAAGACTATCGAGGCAACCATTATGTCTGGACAACAACTACATAACACAAGCAGTTATACAACCGATATTTCTAATGATTATCATTCTAAGATAACCATATTAAGGCAACCATTACATCTCGACAATTATTGTACCAAGGCAACCGATAGTTCGCGACAATTTTCATTTCGAGACAACTAAATTCAAAATATCATATCAAGGCAACCATTATTTCGGGTCAACTACATAACACTAGTATTTTTTACCACTATTTTGGATTCTACCAAATGATATAAACATACTAGGAAGTCGAAGATCATCTCCTGCTAATCTTCAAACTCTAGAACGCTCATACTATTTGAGCTCGGACTTTAACAAGAAATATGACGATAAATCTTAAGTTAGACAACTTTCTAAGAAATAGATTATAAATCTTTAATGAATAAAAAAATTGCACCCAGAGATTTAATGAAGAAGTATAAAATTCATGGAGATTGAAAGATAATAACTTGTAAATTATGTCTGAACTATGAAACCAAAATTTCGCAAATCTTCTTCCAATGAATAAATCAACTTCTTACTAGTAACGGACCAATAAGATTTCAAGGCAGACACACCAGAACAAATAGAACATCAAATACATTAGTACACAACTTGTTTAACACCATACAAAAAAAAAAAAAAAAAAAAAAGTTGGCATATAAAAGGCTTAATCCTCACGAGGATTAAGCCAAGGCAGACACACCAGAACTAGTAACGGACCAATAAGATTCCATAGCAGACATACCAGAACAAATAGAACATCAAATACATTAGTACACAACTTGTTTACCAAAGAAGTCTGGAACAAATTTATGGACTTCAGATAATGGTAACAATGCATACAAAGAGTTGAGAGAATGCATATATAAGCAAGTATTTTTTAAACGCACCCACTTAAATGCATGTTTCTTTCTCACATACTAAAAATTGGGAGGTCCACACTTGTAAGAAAGGGAAAGAGCCATGTTTAAGTCATTTTTCATGCAATAACTAAACAAAGTTTTTGAAATAACATTTTCATCTCATGAAACCAAAAAACAGTCCTGGAATTAAACCATTTTAAGCTGTTCATGCCCATTTCATAAACAGATTCTATCAATCAAAAAACTACATGACAAAATCAAAAAACCAAAGAAAATTATAAACCAGCAAACCTGAGGCATTTGATTAGAGATCCACCGCCTACCTAAATCACCCCTCTTCTTAAGCAAACTGATCTGATACATGAGGCTCTAATATTTAGCTAGAGAAACAATTAAATCTTCCCCTAATGAAAACACCAACATCTCATTAGTAACCAAAATCGATGAGACTGCCTATTTTGAAGCAAAGTCCAAACAGAACAGAGCCAGAAACATCAGAAGAAATAGAAAATCGCATTAGCTGACGATTTGTTAACACCTAACACCCCAGAGGAAAAGAGAGATTTTCCGATGAGTGTGGAATAAATTTATGGTTTAGCCATGCATCCAAAAGGTTAGAGAACTGTAGCCACAATGTGGCGGCACATTAAAAAAAAAAAAATCACAACAGAAAATCCTAAATAACGAGATCGAATGACAAGCCAGCAAGGACACTCCACAAAGTCGCCGCAGTAAATAAAGCTAAGACTTGCTACAGATAAGAAAAAACAGCAACACAAAGTCCAAAATTTTGAAGTCTTGCATTCTAGGAATTTCAGAAATATTCAGTTTGCCTCTTACAAGAGAGGTTATAATGCAATACCGAACTATATTTGATTACGTTATAAGATCAGATTGCAAGTTTGGCATTTGATTACATTATAAGATCAGTTTGAGAAATTTCAGCTGAATGAGCAATGTTCAGTGTATAACCTGCATAAGTACTACTTGAACATCCATTGTCTTCGCACAGTGTACGAGGGATGAAGCCAAATTTATGAGGATAGACCACAGATTAATACAGAATCCGATCAACCGGCTCATTAGGAACAGAGTCAGAACCTTCAAATAGGAGAATTTAAGTCCAAACAAATTCCTAACTTTTTTGAGATCTGAAACGTTTCATGTTTTTGGTCATACAATAGAAAGTTCCATGGAAAATAAACAAAGTGGAAAGCATTTTTTTTCTTTTATGTTTCTAATATCCAAGTGACTTGTCCAAATCATCATGGACACACCACAATTAATTTCACAAGACAAGCTGTTCTAACTTATAAGTTAGGGATGGTATCTATTGATATCACGTCCATACCTTGATCAGCCCAGGGATGGTATCTATTTAAATTTGCTTCCCTTTGTAATCTCAACAACCTCTGTAGTTCCATCAATCAAGAAAAATTGAAAAAAGTACCTGAAAAAATAGAGCCTCACATAGAGCAAAAAAAAAAAAAAAAAAAACAGAACAAACCTAATTTTCTAACTAAAAACATCCGATGGGTTTTGAATATCAAAGCACCAGCCTCCTACCAAAGTCAAATGGTTTTCTATGCAATGCAATTATGTTTTTAAACGCTAACTCCCACATGATAAAAAATAGTAAAAGGTCTCTGCTTAAGCATGTTTCTAAGAGATCAAAAACTCGGAGGCCCCTCCCTAACTTGTAAGAAAGGGAAAGAGCGATGATTGAAAAAACATTTACAGCTCAAGAACCCAAAAATAGTCGGGGAATTGAAGCACACAGCCCCTTTCCATTTATATATAACAAACATATTCTATCAAACAAAAAATTACATGACAAAACTACAAGAGAACTATAAGCCAGCAAGACAGAGTGTGAAAGCATCAATCAAATTAATCTCCAAAACTGCATCAAGAATTATTCTTTGAACTTACCAGTATTCATTATTTGATTCTTACAAATATCACCATAATATCTGCACAAGTAAAAAAAAAAAAAACGTAAAATAACGACAAGATCATGACAAGCCTTAAAAGAACTCAAATCCCATTATAATTTTTAAGAAGTATAAATTTCAAAACCAAGAGTAAATCCTAAATTATGAGAATCCAAAAATAATAGCAGAAGTCTTTAACAAGAGGAAAAAACATATCTTACCAAATTATATGGACATACTAGGAAGTTGAAGATCATCTCCCGTTAATCTTCAAACCATAGAACGCTCATACTATTTGAGATCACAAGTTATAAATTAGTTAAAAGTATAAATTTCAAACCTAGAGTACTCGTCAATTTTGAGAACCCAAATAGAATGGTAGAAATCTTTAGCATGAGGCAAAATCATATCTTACCCAAATGATATGAACATACTAGAAAGCTAAGGATCATCTCCCGTTAATCTTCAAACCCTAGAACACTCATACTATTGAAATCAAACTTAAAGTGTTTTGTTAGAACTTATCAACAAGCGATAAAGTAAACCTAGAATACTCATCCATTTTGATAAACCAAATAGAATGGAAAAAATCTTTAACATGAGGCAAAATCATATTTTACCAAATGATATAAACCTAAAGTACTCGTCAATTTTAAGAACCCAAATAGAATAGTAGAAATCCTTAACATGAGAAAATCATATCTTACCCAAATAATATAAACATACTAGGAATTTGAAGATCATCTCCCGCTAATCTTCAAACTCTAGAACACTCATACTATTTGACATCAAACTTAAGTGTTTTGTTAGAAATTTTAAAGATGATAAAGTAACTCATAAATCTTCCACCTAGAATACTCATCCATGGTAAAAATCTTTAACATGAGACAAAATCATATTTTACCAAGATATGAACCTAAAGTACTCATCAATTTTAAGAATAGTGGTAGAAATCCTTAACATGAGAAAATCATATCTTACCCAAATAATATGAACATACTAGGAATTTGAAGATCATCTCCCGCTAATCTTCAAACTCTAGAACACTCATACTATTTGACATCAAACTTAAGTGTTTTGTTAGAAATTTTAAAGATGATAAAGTAACTCATAAATCTTCCACCTAGAATACTCATCCATGGTAAAAATCTTTAACATGAGACAAAATCATATTTTACCAAGATATGAACCTAAAGTACTCATCAATTTTAAGAATAATGGTAGAAATCCTTAACATGAGAAAATCATATCTTACCCAAATAATATGAACATACTAGGAATTTGAAGATCATCTCCCGCTAATCTTCAAACTCTAGAACACTCATACTATTTGACATCAAACTTAAGTGTTTGTTAGAAATTTTAAAGATGATAAAGTAACTCATAAATCTTCCACCTCGAATACTCATCCATGGTAAAAATCTTTAACATGAGACAAAATCATATTTTACCAAGATATGAACCTAAAGTACTCATCAATTTTAAGAATAATGGTAGAAATCCTTAACATGAGAAAATCATATCTTACCCAAATAATATGAACATACTAGGAATTTGAAGATCATCTCCCGCTAATCTTCAAACTCTAGAACACTCATACTATTTGACATCAAACTTAAGTGTTTTGTGAGAAATTTTAAAGATGATAAAGTAACTCATAAATCTTCCACCTAGAATACTCATCCATGGTAAAAATCTTTAACATGAGACAAAATCATATTTTACCAAGATATGAACCTAAAGTACTCATCAATTTTAAGAATAATGGTAGAAATCCTTAACATGAGAAAATCATATCTTACCCAAATAATATGAACATACTAGGAATTTGAAGATCATCTCCCGCTAATCTTCAAACTCTAGAACACTCATACTATTTGACATCAAACTTAAGTGTTTTGTTAGAAATTTTAAAGATGATAAAGTAACTCATAAATCTTCAACCTAGAATACTCATCCATGGTAAAAATCTTTAACATGAGACAAAATCATATTTTACCAAGATATGAACCTAAAGTACTCATCAATTTTAAGAATAATGGTAGAAATCCTTAACATGAGAAAATCATATCTTACCCAAATAATATGAACATACTAGGAATTTGAAGATCATCTCCCGCTAATCTTCAAACTCTAGAACACTCATACTATTTGACATCAAACTTAAGTGTTTTGTTAGAAATTTTAAAGATGATAAAGTAACTCAAATAATATGAACATACTAGGAATTTGAAGATCATCTCCCGCTAATCTTCAAACTCTAGAACACTCATACTATTTGACATCAAAATTAAGTGCTTTGTTAGAAATTTTAAACAAGAGATAAAGTAACTCATAAATCTTCAAAACCTAGAATACTCATACATTTTGAGAAACCAAATAGAATGGTAAAAATCAGCAAAATCATATTTTACCAAATGATATGAACCTAAAGTACTCTGTCAATTTCAAGAACCCAAATAGAATGGTAGAAATTTTTCACATGAGGAAATCATATCTTACCCAAATAATCTGAACATAATAGAAAGTTGAAGATCATCTCCCGCTAATCTTCAAACTCTTGAACGCTCATACTTTGGAAATCAATTTAAGTGTTTTGTTAGAAACTTTAAACAAGAGATTTATTTTCCACACATGCATACCAATGAACCCAGAGGGGACAAAATAATAATAAATCTACTCCTGAAGCGGGAAAATACCTGGAGTACAAAATCATGTACTATCCCTGAGATAGCACCTCTTCCAAATCAACTTTAACAACCTGAAGGAAAGTGGCAGCCAAGAAAGTGAAAATACGTTAGTCTTGGAGAACACAAATAATATACTCCAATGAGATGTTAAATGATACAAAAGAACTACTATCGGAGCTCGTGCATTACCTCAGAATAAGCTTCAGCTTTAACGTCAACCATACAAAAAAAAAACTTTACCTATATGGACCTCACAAATATCAATGCCAACATTATCCAGTAGCAGTATCGAAAACAACCATAATAAGCGCAGGAAGCATTTGTTGTGTCTGTGTACGCAACAGTGGGAGGAGAGAAAGGGACCAACCTTACGATCATCAATCCTGTACCAATTTCCAGAGAAGTCCTTAATGTAGCAGATATAGTGTTCAAAATATGAAGCATTCAGCATATCGATGTGAAAGACTACAGCATAAAGGAGAGAATGCTCATGTAAGGACTAAGATCTCCAGCAACATTTCAAGAATGTGGCGGCACATTAAGAAAAATCACAACAGAAAATACTAAATAACATGAGAGATCAAACGACAAACTAGCAATAAAACTCCAATATCGATGAAAAACTTTTCAAGTATAAACTAGCTTACATGAACCACATGAGACAAGAAAAACAGTCCATTCAACACGATAATCGGTTATTTGGCAGTTTAATTAAGAAAAAAAACAGGACGATTTTACAAGGAGATGATTGAAAAATAAAAACCGAACCCACCTGAAAGAGAAAGAAAAGCAAAAACTGAAAAAAATAAAAATAAAAATAAAAATAAAACAGGACGATTTTTGGGAGATGATTGAAAAATCAATACCAAATCCACCTCAAAAGAACACGATGATTTTGCAAACAGGGAAGGAAAACCAAAACCTAACCGGATTTTGGCAGACAATTTTCCGAACAGAAAGGAGGGAAATCGAAATCTAGACCGACGAACGGAGAGTACGAACTCGACTCCGGATTGTTTCAATTCGACGCATTCTAAGAAAAACAAACCTAAAATTGTAAAAAAAACAAAACCGCAACCGAATTCAGAAAAATATGGATGTTGTTATTGCTCGTCAAACGCATTCTAAGAAAACCAAACCTAAAATTGGAAAAACCAAAACCCTAACCGAATCCAGAAAAATCTGGATGTTGTTACTGCTCTTCAAAGCCATAGCTTGCTGCCCTCCCGGCCCCTATCAAAACAAACTTGAAAGTTTAGCCAAAGCTTGAAGATGGAAAAAAACTAAACCCTAAGAACAAACTCATACCCATGCCTTAGCAGAGAGAGAGAGAAGAGAGACACTACTAGACCTCAGAATGAGAATTGGGAACGAAGCTATTTATAAAGAAACCAGAAAGAGACGGCAAAATATAGCCGTTAAAGAAGGTTGCGTGAAGAAGAGGCTAAGAAATACCTATAATTAAATAATTTAAATTAAAATTTAAAAAATAATGGACTGGGCCTAATTAATGTGTAAATGGGCCAACTAAATTTCCCTAAGTTAGGTTAGAGGGGCCTGCAAAGCCCAATACATTAAATAATAAATTAAAATAATAAATCAATTAATATTTGGACAGATATAGAAGAAAACACACATAAACACACAAATTTTCCTAAAATTACAACATAATAACAAAAAAAAAAAAAATAATTTTTTTATTTTCAAAACCAAACTTTTATAATTTCAAATTTAAAATAAATAAACTCTAAATCAATTTATAAACCAAGATTATTTAAAATAAATACACGCCTTTTAATAAAATACAGATGATAGACTACCCATAAATTTAATGTCACGCATAGTTGAGTCATCAACCAGAGAAACCAAAAAATAGTCTAACTCTCAAACTCTGTGAAATATGACAATGAGTTTTAAGTTATTAATCTTCCAATTTTTATTTTTTATAAATAAATTCATCAAAATTTAATGTCTTAATAATTAATAAAAATATAAAAATGTATTAAACAATACAAAAAAATATTAGAATTTAACTTATTTTTAAAATTTTAGAAATGATAAACCCAAATTTAAAATTTAAGCAATAAACCAAAAAAGAAAAAAAAAAAAAAGAAGAAATTAAGCATCACAGTCAAATCTGATTGGCCAATTAAATCACAAAGATCAGAAGTAAATCGTTTTGGATGGCCACGATTTACCCGTCACATTGACGAAATAACGAACCAGAGACTTTAGCATTGAACCGAGTACCGACTACCTGAATAGGAAATACAACGGCATAAAATTATTATAATTCAGCTGTAAATTTTCTCTTTCTTAAAAATAAAAAATAAATAAAATAAATAAAGGTTTTTCACTCATCCTCTGCATCTCTCTCTTTCTCTCTCCTTCTCTCTCTCTCTCTTTCTGCGCGTGGTCTAATAAAAACCCTAATTTGCTCAATTCCTTACTTTCTTTCTCCCTCCTTCAACAATTTCCTCTGTTTCACGGCATTGAAGGGAGGACCTCGACTCTGTGTTGTTAATGGCGACAGAGCGCGAGGAGATTCGTTACGAAGGAGGAAGAGGTGGGAAGTTTCAGAAACGGCCTCTCAGAAGGTCGCATACGACGCCGTATGATCGGCCGCCGACTGCTCTGAGAAACTCTGCTGGAAACGGATGGCTCTCTAAGCTTGTCGATCCGGCGCAGAAGCTCATTACCTCCAGTGCACATAGGCTGTTTTCTAGCGTGTTTCGTAAACGTATTCCCCCTCCGCCGCCGTCATTGCCCGTTTCTCGAGGTTTTTTGCTTCGTTTTTTTTTTTTTTTTTTTTTTTTTTTTTTTTTTTTTTTTTTTTTTTTTTTTTTTTTTTTTT